GACAAAGGCGTATCACTCGGGTCAATAGATAAAGAGATGCTTAATGCCAAGAAGACAAAATGTGTTAAATTTGAATTACCTAACGTAAAATCGACTAGTCCAAGCATAGAAATAAACGGAGAAAAGTTAGACCTTGTTAATAAAGCAGTCTTCTTGGGAGTGACCTTAGATACTAAACTTCAATGGTTTCCACATATATCGTCCCTGGCCAGCAGATTAAACTCCGCTGCATACGCAGTCCGCAGAATACGTGAGCTTACCGATGTTAGTACTGCTAGACTAGTTTACTTTAGTTACTTCCATAGTATAATGTCAAACCATATTTGTATTGCAAAAACGAGCGATTCGTTCTGTGTACCGTCTAGGCTCACTGGTTTCTCTCAGAGAAAAGTTTAAGGAGACTGGTATCATGACTGTGGCATCACAGTACATTTACTCAAATATTTTATATGCCCGTAAAAATATACATAATTTCAATAATAAAGAAGATATCCATAATATTAACCTTAGAGCTAAATCCAAACTCATGGTACCACGATTTCGTTTAACCAAGGTAAACAACTCTTTTATGGGGAACTGTATACGTTTTAACAATAAGATTCCGGAGCATATATTAAGTTTATCATTTCCTAAGTTTAAAAACTACATTAAAAATATTTTGATCGAAAAATCATATTACAAAATTGAAGACTACGTGTTAGATAAAGATGTATGGAAAGACGACACGGCTCCAGAATCCACACAAATTTGATTCAAAGTGCAAAAAAATATACAATATATATATCTTACTTTTTTCCATAGCATTTAAGTTTATTTGAAAAGAGCAATCCCTAGAGTTTCTTGCTCGTTCTTCTCGGGGAGGTCAGCGTAGTGAACGAGCAGTAGCTTAAATGTGACGTTTTCAAGTGTAAATTTATTTTACCTGCGGAATAAATAATCTTTGACTTTGACTTTGACTTTGAGACAATACGAAAGAGCAGTAAAGTCAATGTGACGATTTCAAGTAGTATGTTTGCTTGTGAAATGAAGATTATTTGACTAAGTTTGGGTGCAGCCTCTTACAATGAAGCATAATGAAGTAGTGAACCCTGCGAAGTCACAACGCGAAGAATTTCATTTGCCAATTTCAGGACAAATGTTACGTAAAAGGTTACAAATTGCCAGCAGTGTGGATCCACCGCCCTTCGTAGTTTGATATTTAAAAAGAAATGATAAATTCTGGATTGTTAATATAATTCAAACTTCCCGGTGTTGTTGTCGTGAGCAGTTCAATACCTTATAATGCAAGTTACGACGTTTAGATTTTATATTGAAATTTCAATCAATGTGCTGCCATCTAGCTATAAATAGCCGCACGATGACGAATTCGGGATATTTACTTAGTTCTCCAAAAAAGATGCGACCATATAGCAACGGTATAAGGTGTAGTTTCGTTTCTTGTAACAAAAAAATATTACGATAAACATAACATTGATAGTTTATTAAAATTAATTCAACTAAGACTTAATGATGACACGACTATAGATACTATTACAAGTGCGACTTTCATTTTTGAACTCTAAAGTAGCGAAATAAGACATTTTTCCGCGATTTTTTCATTATTTTCAGGTTTTGAGCGAGACAATTTACAGGATCATAACGTACAAAACGATAATAACCTTTTAATAAAAAAAAACCTCAAAAGTTCGTGAAATTACATTTATTTGCTAAGTTTTATTGAAATCGGTTACCGGAAAGTGTTAAACCAGATTCATCCAATAGTTTGCCACCCTTAGGGGTGAAATATTTTCTTCAAATTTAAATGGGACCAATACTGAGGTGCCCTCTTTCCACCAAAAAAAGAATCATCACAGCCGGTTCACGAATGCCGGAGTAATTACACAACATACACATACAAGAAAATAAAGTCGGATTGAGAACTTCCTCCTTTTTTGAAGTCGGCTAAAAATGACTGACTGAGCTCAAGTTTGCGGAACTCCACGAACTGTTGGCACACGTACCACGTAAACTAACCAATGTAACGCTCACATGACTATTTGGCGGCAGAATAGGCATAAAGTGGCGGTACTTCCCAGTACGAACTCTTACGTACGAACAAGGGGCTTTACTACTAATGTTTGTCCAGTTTGAACGTATTTGCAATTTTTGCGTAAACAAAAACCAGACGCCTCTACTGTTGTAATAAAAACATCATTCGATATGACGTACGCTCACACGATTGGCGACAAAACAAGATAACACGTAATATCTTATCGAGATAATGTGAACTGCCCACCGAGTCATGTAATCTTAGTTTATATATGGAACCCGGACGGCAGGTTTCAGGGGCCGGATTTAAGGAAGGTGTTCCAATCGTTAAAAATATGTAAAATATCTATTTTTGCTAGATAGTGCATTAAAAATTTCACGATATCTACCGAGTACGCCCAAGAAGGCGCCCTGGTTTGACCCGGATGACATAAGAGGCGAATACAACGATTATGCAAACAATACAAACTTATTATATAACAAAGGAACACGTGTGTAAACCCTCTCCGAGTAGGTCCATGCCCGACAGTGGGACGTATGTATATTACACAATAAAAATTGATTAATGCCAAAGTGCAGACACAACATGCAACAGTCAAATGCACTATATACTATTGGGGATTTATATATGAAATGTAGTATAATATATAACATAAATTTGTGTATAATAAAAGAAATTGTAGCAATAGAGCTCCTTGTGAAAAAGTTCTTGCAGAACAGATCGATACCTGCAATGAACACTAACTTTATTTTTTGGTCATTATCTGTTATTTTTGTAAACAGCCATGTTTATTTACAATTATTATGCTCCCCGAATTTTGTGGAAAAAAGAAAAGAAAAAACAAAAAACAAAATTCGAAAAAAGAACTAATTTTATGAAAAAAGAAACAAAAACAAACTTCGAAAACAACTAATTTTATGAAAAAAATAATCAAAAAACAAAATGAAAACAGAAAAAGTTGGCACAGTGTTCATTGGAGGTATCGACATATTGTAATTTTAGGTATAACTTTAGATGCCAAATTGCAATGGAGCCATAAATAACTAAGTTATGGAAACGGCTGAGCTCTGCAGTTTACGCAATTTATAAAATACAAAAAATCTCAGACGTAGAAACTGCTAAATTAGTCAACTTTGGGTAATTTTACAGTTTGACGACCTACGGCGTATTGCTTTGGAGTAATACAACCGATATTACTAGAATGACGAACTCGGTGGCCCAACGGGTAGGGCCAAGGTTCTGGTCTGGGTGTCCTGGGAAGTGCCACAGAATTCCGTTACTGGTACTCATAGTACAGGGAATTCCCTACTTTAAGACCAGGCAATTGGTGTGTTATTTAACACATATTAAAAAAGTCTTTGTCCTGCAAAAACAGATGCGGTTACGGCAATTTACAAATCTGGGCCACAGAGTGTCTTTATGAGATGAGTTAAAAGAAGATAAAGATAAGTAGATACAATAAATTAATTTCAATTAGGTCTTAAATAATACATTGCAGTGCTATTAACCAGGGGGTCTCCTCTCGATTTCCGTCCGACATCCGTCCGAAACAATTACTGCCAAATAAGCGATACTTGACCAAATAAAAAGATGCGTGATGCGAATGAAGCTTCATATTGGATACTTGTCTTTTAATTGTTTCGGACGGATGTCGGACGGAGATCGAGTGTAGACCCCCAGTCTCGTAAAACATACAAATATATATGATTAGTGTTTTTTTTTGGTTTTTGCCTTATCGCGTTTTTTACGCAAGGTAAAAAATTTATAGGTTTCATGACACATACTACGCATCATTATCATAAACCCATTGTATATCCCACTGCTAGTCACTAGTCTGCTCTAAAAAGAGAGTTTGGGCTAAAAACACGCTGGTTCAATGCATAGCATGCAATCAAACAACATCATGTCAAACATATTTTTTATTCACATATTTACATATCGAGTTCTTATGTTTTCATGATTGTTACACATAGGAAATGAAACTATTTTTCCGGATTTAAATCGCGTATATTTGTTTTTTCAAACAAACCGACGTTTCTGGCCCTTTACAGGTCCCATGGTCACGGTTGACTGAGGTGGTACAGGGCCCAAAACGTCGGTTTGTTTGAAAAAACAAATATACGCGATTTAAATCCGGAATAATAGTTTCATTTCCTACACATACTTCCAATTATGTCATATCTATCTTACCTATTTCTGCCGCTTCTAATGTGAGCATTGCTGCGTTTCGGTTTTGAAGGATAGGGTGCTGGCGAAATTACAGGCATTTGGGACTTGGTAATTTGTGTCTCAGCGGCAATGCCCCTCAGATCTTTGTGATTTACAGCTCTGAGTGGCACTGCAACTGTTATGGACAGGCGTGTCGCTTACCATCAAGCGCGTGAGCTGTTCGTTCCGTCACTTGGTCACGTAAAAATTTTAAAAAAAGCACGTTGGTAAAGAATAGGCGTTTTTAATGTAGTCCAACTATTTATTAAAATCATGATTTATCAAAATTTTTCTATTCAAATTCTGTTAGTTGTTTTATGTAAACATACATAGATATAACCGGAACAAGGTATAAACAAAAACGATTAAAATTTTATTGTCTTTCATTGTCTCTGTAAACTTTGTAGTTTAGCCTCTATGCCCTTTCCACTTTAAAGTATCGATAGAAGAAGAGCAATTATAGGAAGAGTCCTCGATATTAGTTATACTTAACCTTACTTAATAAAAGTTAAACATTAACATTAAAGAGTTATTGATTTATCGAGTTCTTAGGTTTTCGCGATTGTTACACATAGGAAATGAAACTATTTTTCCGGATTTAAATCGCGTATATTTGTTTTTTCAAACAAAACGACGTTTCGGGCCCTTTACAGGTCCCATGGACACGGACCTGTAAAGGGCCCAAAACGTCGTTTTGTTTGAAAAAACAAATAGACGCGATTTAAATCCGGAAAAATAGTATCATTTCCTAGTTATTGATTTGTTTACGTTAATTTAAAACTTTAAATAAATGTTTTTTCTAAAGCGGGTTCGCTAACGGAATACTACAGAGTAATGTTTCTCTTTGAACTTTATTTTTGAAAATCTGGTGGCAGAAAAGACGCTGCAAATGCACCACCTGTAATAGAATATAACACACAATGCTAATAACGTCACAGAACTATTATTACTAACATCATAACCAACAATTTTTGTTCCATGACTTTTTACAAAACATAATAAATTTACTAAACTTTTAAGTTTTTGTTGTAAGTACCATCTGACAATTCTAAGTTCTATTTATAGCAATGGCTCCCGCGGGCTGTCACTCATAAAAATAATTTTGGCAGTTGGTACTTTCTTTTGCTACAGCACAAAGTTATCACCACTTAGAGCGATCTATTTCAATAAACATTATATTTAAAGCGACATTTCTAGTCAGCCGCTGGTCTGTAAAGGTAGTTGGCTGAGTGAAGAAAAACTTTCATAGCTTTCTCACTAAAAGTCGTTGAAAACCAAAGATCTGCAAGAATTATCCAGTGCAAACATTTGGGCCACAGAGGTCATCTAATAGAATTAGCATTATCATTAAAAATTTATGAAAATCCAGTCTACTTACTCAGAACTAAAGCTGCGGCTCCGTAAAAAGCAGAAGAGCAGTTTCCAGTCATAGCGCTGCTAACAATATTGGTACCTGTAAAGGCGCTGAGGCGAGCCACCATCATGCCCAGACAGGCTATCATGCCTCTGAAATATTGCGAAATAAATAATAAGATATTTATCATTGTTATTGATACAAATATTGAAAAAACACAAAGAAAAATTCTATCATTTCGACTGGGCTTGAACCAGCATCTGTTGCCTGAACGTGACTATCGTCTGCCAACTGGGGTACGGATCTAGCCGGCAGTCAATCGAGTCGGTGAGTATCTTACGCCGGTTGACAAATTCTTTCACCATGATGGCAATCATTACAGTGTATGCCAGAGAGACGGCAAGAAATTTGAAAAAATAAACTATATTATTTATCTTAAAGTAAGACCAATGGATTAAAACTAACTTATATAATAATAATAACAACTGAGAACCAATTACAGATTCTCACAAATAGAAACATAATATAAGAATGCACAATTTAACGATATTACATTACGATAATTACGATATTATAGCGATAGGTTACGCTATAAACATAAGTTATAAAGTTATGTATAGCGTCTGCCACGGTATGCAAGAAGACGTCGTCGGTTCGAATCCGACCGGATCGAAGGAATTTTTCCTGAGTGTTTTTTCTGAGTGTTCGATCTTTGTATTAATAATTATAACAAACTAGTGGAGTAATTTCACAAAAAATAATTGAATATCAATTCAATAAAAAAAATTAATTTATACTTCTTGTTTGGCATGACATACCTTAAATTTTCGAGATTCAATACTTTTATCCAATTGTCGCCATCTCTGGTTTTAAATATTTACTAAAGTTAATTTGTAAGAATCAATACCCCATGGTTAATAGGTTTAAAAAAAATGATTACATTTCCAATGTCATGTAACAATCACTAAATTTCAAAAACCTAAAACGGACACGATATATGTGCATTATTAATTAGATTTTTTTATTATTAAAAGACAGCTCACACTTACAAGCGAAAAAAAAATTTTTAATCAAGTTACCCACAGTAGATCCACAACTGGATACTATAGATAGTTTTATTGTTAGAGCATATAAGACGTCATATTTACCTGTAGGAGGTAGGGTACAAATCGACGAAATAAGAAGAGATAACGCCAAAGATCATGGCGGTGGTGAGGAATACATAAAACAGGATAAGACCCGAGATGGCACCGCCCGTGTTGTTGATGGCGACTGCCGCCGCGGCCGCGATTACCAAGATTATTATAGTAAGCATCTGAAAAAGATGATCTTAGCTGTGGAGACGTCTTGCGACAAGTTTCATCAATTACTGCGTTCCGGTTTTGAAAGGTAGGCACATGGGACTTGTCCACTTATATCACAGAGTGACAGGCGCTGTGGCAGTGCCCCTTAGAGCTTTGGGATATAAAGCTCTGAGTGGCACTGCAACTGCTGTAGATTACTCACGCATTTGGCGCCGAGCAAATGTTTATCTTGTGTTGGATACAAGCAACCGGCAATTAGAAGAAATATTCTATTTTCATACAATTAAGGAAGAGGAAACTGCAATACTTCGGGCACATTGTGAGTGATTAACACTCTCTACTGTAATTCACTCTGCAGGGAAAAATCCAAGGCCGCAGAAGACGTAGTCGTAGAAAAACCACATGGCTTTAAAATCTTGCAGAGTGGTTCAACGTAAGTACCACAGAACTGTTCCTAGTCGCTACTTCACGAACCCAAATTGCCACAATGATAGCCTACCTCCGGTAGGAGATGGCATCCCAATCGATGGCATCGAAATCGACACAGTCGCCGGTAGCGGCAACCTCGATTGTATTAAAATAGAATATGCACTTCTAGTTGCCGATTGCTTGTATTGTATCCAACACAAGACACACGAGCGCCGCTTACGACGCCTTAGTTGTACTGAAAGATTTTTTTCTATGTGTAATAGTTTCCGAGTTATTCAAAGATTTATTAAAAAAATGTGTGTTGTCAATACAGGGTAAAATCTTTGTACTTTTAATAGGTCGTTGACCTCCGTCGTTGATCAGCAAATAATACCATCATGATCAATCATCATGTGGCCGTGGCCGATAGTGTTTAATTTTGCGGTGTGTTTATTACTTCGCGAGGAATTTACACCCCCAAAATTTCATGATTGACGGTCCAATACTTACATTTAAGTACCCTTGATGTATATTATATATAACAATATTATTTCACGCTGTGGACCAGCTAATTAAATATTTGATTTTGTTTACTCACCTTTCGTCTTCCAGCTACAAATGAGATGAGAGCATTCAGAATGAAGAAGGATAGTCCGTGCGCGCATCCAGCCCATATAGTTTTGTCTTCTATAGTGCCTTTACACTGTGCGACCGCCTAAACATTTTTTTTTATGATAAAGCACTTCCGACAAGTAGGACAGTAATCATAAGTCTCTGGAAAGTGTCTGGTTCTACAATATAATGTCATTAGCATATTTAGTTTCAAACATTGATCTTTGGATAGTTCTTAAACATATAAAAATTTTGAGATAATGGTGAACACTATCGACCTGTTCTTTGAAACATAATCGATTTACTTACTACAACCCATGCCTGTTGGACGGACATATGGCCGAGGGATAGTGCAATGTAACTAGCATTTGATTATGAGTTTCAATTTTGGTAATTTAGTTGCCAAATCAAAGCCGCGTAAATGTCGTGGCAACCAGATTAACGTGCGCGTAATTTGAGGGAATCTATTGTTATCAGTCGGTGGACAACCTCAATTAATGCTTACTGTGCAAAAATGAGAGTCGTAGGTATTTTAAATGACAAAGTAATAAGTTTAATCCCTCTTCTGTAACATTTAATTGATTGCAGATACGCGCCTTTTACCAACACTATCCCCGACTATATAACACTACGACTACAGCACTACATTGACTTTTATATAATTGCTTATAGATCTATGGGCTATAACACAATGCAAACCAATACTGCGGCGTGTCGTTGAGCACGTTATGGGCGTATAATTATGAAATATAAATGATATGCGAGTTTGTATATTATACATAAGGATACATTTATAAATAAATAAAAAATTAAAAAGTAAGGCTTTAACAAGGAAAGGAATGAAAATTAATGCGAGTAAGACGAAAGTAATGGGTTTTGAAAGAGAGGAAGATATGACGGATTGCACGATATTGATTGAAGAAAATAAAGTGGAACAAGTTATAAAGTTTGTGTATTTGGGTTCTATGCTTACGTGTGATGGAAGATATGAAAGTGACATTGCAAGGAGGGTGAACGCTGGGAATCAAATGAATGGAGTGTTACATGCCTTCATGGGCAGCCGGAATGTATCTAAAAAGGCACAACTGATTGTGCATCGGGGGTGCTGGTTCCTACACTTAAGCACGGTAATGAATGTTGTGTTTAGCAGAAGACGCACGAATGTAGGATTAATGCAGTAGAAATGAGAGCTTTAAGAAGTATGGCTGGAGTGACTATGATGAATAAATTACGGAATCGTGTGATGAGAGAGCGTTGTGGCATGGAAGAAGATGTAGTGACATAGATAGGGAAAGGGATGATTAGATGGTTCGGACATGTAGAGTGAAATGAATGAAAGAATATTGACGAAACCGATTTATAATTGGTAAGGGCCGACCAAGGCGAACTTACCATGACCAAATTGAGACCATCCCAAAGAAGGGCCAGGTCAAGTGTGTCAGGACAGTAGCAACTGGAGGACTGTTGTCTTTGCTTACCCCAATGGGAAAAAGGCGTGAAGTATATGTATGTATGTGTACATCAAAAAAATATAAATTAATGATTACCTATGTTAAGTAACAGCAATTAGACTTGGTATGAAACTTACCCACATAAGCACACCTATCTAAAAGACATTATATTATAATTTGCAACTAAGAATTTAAAAAAAATATAACGCACAACGCACAACGCACACACTCAACATAGCCCCGCACTAGGGAAACCCTGTGTCGCGGGTGCCATGGACACACACATAGACAACTACAAATTACATCCAAACTCACGAGAGATATAATTGTAGGCCATACAACTATTTCTCTCGGCCCGGGAATCGAACCTGGGACCTCTGCGTGGCAGTCCGGCATGGTAACCGTTCGGCCACATATAAAAATGAAGATAGAGATAATGACACTGGTTTGTTCAGTCATTGCAAAATATGTTATTGAATGAATGAAATGAATGAAATATTCTTTATTGCACATTAAAAATTGCAATGACAACACAGAACAGTAATGTGAATATCGCAGAGTAACATAATGTACAATAGGCGGTCTTATAGCTAAGTAGCAATTCTTCCAGGCAACATTGGGATAGAAATTTAACGGTTGGAATGGGGGATGCAACCAAAGAATGTCTTGTAATGAAAGTGGTTATAAATAAATGCATTACTCATCAATGAAGTAAATACATTTATAAACAATAATATTAAATACATACATTATTACAATAAATACACAAATAATAATAATATACTCGTATATATATATATAATATGAATACTTAAATACTTTTGCAGAAAAATAAAATAAATAGTAATAATAATAAGATAAATGGTTGCCTATCTGTAGTCCGAAATGACATTTTCCAGAAATAACGTTTGCTCGAATTGTCGTAACCTCGAAAGTAATTTTGAGAGGAAAATGTTTTTTCTTTTAAACCTAACCTAACCGAACCTAATCGTGTCTTGGCGATAAACATCCAAGATATCCTGAAAGAACAACGGTTTCATTATAGTTCGGTTTTCGGTGTAATGAAAATTCGAACAAAGGTTATTTCGGAAAAAAAACGTTAAGTCCAAAGTTTTGTGATAGGTTACCAAGATAAATATACAAAGGAGATTTATAACACTATGCAAAAGAAAATAAAATGAAGGAATGGAGATAAAACGACTTACTTAAGGAAATCATTCTTAACGCGACGTTATTGATATGTATTTGTGATAAACTTGAGTTGTCTATTTTAAGTAAACTTAATCGTGTACAAAATTTGTTTGCATACCAAAGACCACTATGGAAGTACCCCCTTTCCAACAAAAAAAAGAATCATGAAAATCGGTTCATAAATACCGGAGTTATCGCGTAACATACATACAAAAAAAAAGAACATACAGACGAATTGATAACCTCCTCCTTTTTTGAGGTCGTTTAAAAATATATAGTAAAATTGAGTATATACACCGATTAGTAGACGGTGTGAAAACACGATTCTTAAAAATTTTCGCAATAGAAAAACCGCTATATTCAATAAGTACTATAAATAAGAAATGAAACTATTTTTTCGGATTTAAATTTTGTTTTTTCAAACAAATATATTTTGTTTTGTTTTAAATTTATTTCGGTTTGTTTGAAAAAACAAATATACGCGATTTAAATCCGGAAAAATAGTTTCATTTCCTATGTGTAACAATCGCGAAAACCTAAGAACTCGATACTATAAATAAACCAAATATTTTATTTTATTTTATATCAACTGAACTAAATACAACACGTATAGTAAACGATATAATTTTTTCAAATGGCTTTAAGATCGCTTGTAAAAAAATAAATACTGAAAAAAGCCAATGTCCCTCGATCCGCGCCATAGAACAGATTCAGTACAGGAGAAATTTTAATTCGGGCTGGGGTAGTATAGACTCTTAAGTTAGATAAATGGAGAATAAATTGAAAAAAGAAATGATAATACAGATACCTGAGCGGTAACGTTGGTAGCATTGGTATTGACATCGCCGCCGTGTACAAAGAGATCGCAAAAACCTGCGCCAGCGCCACTCGCCGCATACGACTGGAAGAACACATTGAAGATTGTCGGCAGGATTATAGCGAAGCTGTTGTTGCTGAAAATATTGAAAATTTGGTATCATTACACCTGGTAACCTATAAAATCAAAGAGAACACATTTTTCTACCATCATCGCTCACATTTTCACTATGCCTCAAATCAGATTATATAGCATTACAGCCTCTTGTGTAAGAGTTCGTGCAGGGAAGTACTTGATATCATAAAAAGTAGACAAGCGTAAGTCGATCTAAAATAAGAAATAAGAGAAATATACACACAGACTTAGAATAATAACGCATAGAAACCTAGTCCGCACACGCTAAGTGAGGCAAATTGAAGCGCGCCCAAAGGGCCTACACGAGCGGGCGGGCCTTCAGTGCTCAAGGTCAACTTGCACCGCGAACAGATCAAGAATTTTAGCTAAAAATGACGAAATGTGCGGTAAATGAGTGTAAAAATACGTCAGATAAACATAAAATAGATACTAACATCACATTCCACAAGGATGTAATACGTTTCAACTTGTATTTGTTATATAAATATTCACTAAAACCGAAAATTAACCTACTACTAAAACTAGCCTACATGAATTTGATTTTTGCCTCACTTGTGACAGTTCGTTGGATATGAAACTATCATTCTATGCGTTATTATTCTAAGCACACAGATATCAATAATTAGTAAATGAACTGTCCCTCCAAGTTTTTATTTTATTTAATAAGTTTATTCATCTACTTCCTATTGCTTAGTAATGTCAACAATAACTGAAAGGACTGTTAATCTCCATACTGCAGATAGTAACTCTGAAAAAGGTCAAAATCCCGTCTTATATCTAGATTGCGCTGGTCAGCAGCCTTTGACAATGACCAATCAAGTCCTTGATATGAAATATATGAAGTCAGTTTTTTCCTTGTAATATTATTCAAAAATTAATCAAGAGCTTCATTTTTTTTTAAATTATCAATTTATAAATTAATGCTTCCTAATATGAATAGATGGCGGTAATCCTAAATAAAATAAAAAATAGCCGGCACTATCCATAATGTAAGTGCCATAAGCCTCGATTACCATCAGAACCATGTCGCCAAAATTCACACATTCTAAATTTGAAACACTACAAAATCCTGATATTGATTGGTCATAGTTTCAAATTTAAAAAGAAATAACAAATTCTAGATTGTTAACATAATTTAAACTCTACTCTGTTGGCATATCGTTGAAAGCTTAATACCATCAAATATAATAAGTGTGAATCTAAGTCATTCTTTACATTTAAATATGGAACTATAATATACACAAAAAAAATTAGTTTCGATACCTCATAAACAGCCTTATTTTATTTACTAATATTATTGTCCCCGAATTTTGAGAAAAAATTAAGAAACAAAAAACAAAATTGAAAAAAATATAATTTTGTGATAAAAATTAAATAAAAACAGAAAACACCAAAAAATTGAAAAGGCATGTTCATTGGAGGTGTCGATTTTAAAAGTAATATAAATGCTTTTTTGTGGCTTACATGGGAGGTACCAAAATGTTTAATATCTTTTTTTATTTATTACTACTATTATTATATCATCTTGTAGTTCGTATTATGTTTATGTTTTCATGTGGTAAAAGCACTTTTGACTGTGGCTTTGTTAATACGAAGGGTATGATATAAGTAACCTTACGCAATATAAGTGACGAAAGTCAAATAGTAGAGCAGCAACGTTCTCCAGAGCAGGGGTGGTTTGAAAAGAGGTGCGATCTGCGTCCAAAGGGACCGAAGGGAGAATACTCCCACCTCTTCTTTATTGCCGTCTTCGAGGTAGATCTCTTTTACCTGGAAAATGCGCAATGGAATTTAAAATAACGCACACATAATAATAAAAACGCATACCTCCAACTATAATACAATACACGCACACCGTTCAACTATAATACAATATGTAACTCGCACACATTCATAGCCCCGCTCTAGGGAACCTGTATCGCGTAAGCCATGGACACTGCGTAACTGTATACGTATTTACAATAAGATTCCGGAGCATATATTAAGTTTATCATTTCCAAAGTTTAAAAACTACATTAAAAATATTTTGATCGAAAAATCATATTACAAAATTGAAGACTACGTGTTAGATAAAGATGTATGGAAAGACGACCTCCCCTCCGTAGGGCTAGCCACTATCCATCCTAGCTTTGTTTCTGTCAGAACTGGTATATTCGTACCCAGTTTAACATGATTGGACCCAACTAGGTGTCCGGTGCAGTACCCCTCAGATCTTTGTGATTTAAAGCTCTGTAGACAACCACAAATTACACCCAAACTCACGAGATAAATAAATGTAAGCTATACGAATATTTCTCCTGGCCCGGGAATCGTACCGGGGACCTCTGCGTGGCAGACCAGTACGGTAAACGTTCGACCACAGAGGCAGCTAGTATAAATATGGACACTTGGATTAATAATTAATGTTAAAATTGGTTTTACAAAAAGTCGAAAACAAAGTAAAGCTCTGTTCCTTTTTATTTCGTTTAAGTGTTTCCAAGTTTAAAAATGTGTTGTTGCTGTTATTGATACAAAGATAAATTATCTTGTTGCAGATCTTTATTGTTGGGTTTAAATGTATATTTGTATCAATAACAATATATCTTATTAATACAAAGATCGAACACTTAGTAAAAATTCCTTCGATCCGGCCGGATTCGAACCGACGCCTTCTAGCAAACCGTACCATCTATGCCACGGAGCGAACCAGCGGACGTCACGAATTTTTCTGTGCTGGTTGTCGTACCTTTGTATTAGGTTTTCAACGACTTTTTGGCCGTAGCGCCATCTATGAGAAATCTATGAAAGTATTTCGTCACCCAGTTAGATACATTTGCAGCTACCGGCCCCGGCTATAGATGTTGCTATTCACTGTATTATAAATTTTTATTTAATTGATAATTAATTATTCTTTGTATTAATAATTATAATAAACTAGTGGAATAATTTCACATAAAAAATAATTGTATATTAATTAAATAAAAATAATATGCCTTTTTTCATAAATAACAAAAAAATCACCTCAAAAGTAAGTGGTATTACATTTATTTGCCAATTTTCTTGAAATCGGTTAACGGAAATTGGGTGAAATTCAATAAACTGGATTCATCCGTTAATTTGCCACCCTTCCAGGTACAATATTTTCTTCAAATTCGAAGAATACCCATGTTGTTTAGCTGTACCATGAAACATTTCCATTGAAGAAATATACTATGTATAACATATAAGTAAATTATGCGGTTACGTTAACTGAGGATAACCGCAGATTGAACGTGTAGTTAATTAAAGTTAGTTACGTAGTTAGTTGATTGGTTAATTAAGATCTGACATTCTCAGAGTATTCAGCCAAAACGTTTCTTTTGATGTCCATACCAAATACAATAGGAACTGTAACTTAGTCAAGTTTTTATAACTGCGTATACATATCTGCTTATATTAATGAGAATAAATACTTACATCAAACCCCTTCCTTCCCCCATTACTAACATATATCTTCGTCAGTATCTCTACAGCCTCATCACACCGTCCTACATTGGCGAGGAACTTCGGGCTCTCATGGAAGAAGTACAGCATCAGCGCCCCGACGCCCAGGGGTAGAGCCATTATGAGGGTTAACAGACGCCAAGGTCGGTAGACTATCCCGAGGAATTGGACTGAGAAATCGAGCTTCATTATTAGGTAGCCCCAAACTGAAAACCAGA